TGGACCGGCGGCTTGTTTGAGGCGAGCAGAAGCCTTCTTTGTAACCCATTTTCTGACACTTTTTGCACGGTGTAGGTGGTTTGCGCTTTTGTCGGTGCTGGAATGAAGGGATCTCGGCGGATCCGGGGACTTGCTGAAGAATACAGTGTGCACATTTGTGGCAGTGCGCTCGGAATCCTGGACGAGAGCAGAGTCTTGCTTGAATTTCGATACCCTCTGGCGCTCGGCGGTCAACGTTCGCAGGTTGGCGTTTGGATCCTGTTCGATGGTGTTCCGGGGCCGGGTTCTGATTTCAGTGTCTCTGGTTGACTGGAGCCCACACAAGAATATAAGACATTTGAATTGGTCTTCGGTCATTGAACACAATTTGAACCTCTCACACTCCCGATTGACAAGGCTGGCATAAGTTTGGAAATCATCAATCTCATTTTTCGCAAGCTCCAAACATTGATAACGGATATTGAAAAAGATTACCTTCTCGCCAAATGTGTCTGAAAGTTCTTTGACCGTTTCGTCACATGAAAAGTCTCTGGGATACTTTGGTAAGATAGTGTTCTTGTACCGCTCGTGTTCTTTAGCATCGAGTTTGCGGATGGGTAATTGGACCTTCCAATCGTCAGATTCATTGGCGAATTCAGCTCGGAAACTGTCTACCCACCTGGTGAACCACGAGTCGAATGTGATGCCAGAGTCTGGATCGTAGTGAACTCGGTGATGCTTGCCGTGATCACCTCTGCTGGCGTGGTCTGTCTGGAACTGGAGGCGTTCAGTGACTGGAGACTGATTGACTGTAGCACAGCTTCGAACTGCGACTGCTGCTGCTGCTGCAAGATTGACTTTAGTTCTTCCGCGGATATGGACATCGTGGGTTGAGGGAAATACCCGTCGCCAATTGTTGTGTCGTTCCCGATCAATCTCAATGTAACACACAAAAAGATATCACACGATGACACACAAGATAACATACAAGGTAACACAAGGAAGGACAATGCTCAATGACACAGAACTGCGTGAGACCCAATGTGCCCGAAGTTCAGACGGTGAGCATAACACAACACAATGATAGTGGCACCCACTATCGACAATGAACGACAAAACACAGACTGGACACTCACAGATGACGTGCACAATATCACAGAGCGCGAACGGACCCAGAGACACGAGTTAGGTCTGAACACTACGGAGCGCGTACGTCAACGGTCACACTGGTCATCTAGCCCCGCGAATACGATCACAGCACAGAATGGGCATCACGAACACTAGTAACCTTCTCCCAGCTACATAAGCAAGAACACAGATGGTGTACAGCGAACGTGTACTTGACACAAAGGAAGCAAGTCAAATTTACAGTGGAAAAATCGGCTACTTATATACTGTTCGGGTCTCCGGACACAGAGAGCTTGAAAATTAATGTAAAAAATGAGGAAATTTACAGAATGGACCAACCAGCGACCGCCAGCTGGGTGTGGACGATTAGCACCAAGAAAAAGCGCCAAAATAAGTTGAAATTAAAAAAAATTGAAAATACCCGAAAAATAGGCAGTTTTAGGAAAAAACAGTATTTCTACCTAACAACGATACAGTTTTTCATTGAATAGAAACTGCACATCGAAAGTGCGTTTCTGGAGCAGTTCTTTCAGTTTTTTCCACCGGGACTCTTATATCGATTTCTTTTTCTTCGATGTAGTTACAGATGAAATCAACCGTTTCCATGAGCGGAAGGTTCGTGTATAATGAAACCACATCTAGAGAAAAAAAATTTGATCGTCGTTAGTCTCTTGTTTTTTGATCATGTTCACGAATTCGAAAGTGTCACGTGGACTGTGTTCGGCTATTTGCCGTCGAATTGGCTTTAGAATTTTAGCAAGCCACTCGCGGTGCCGTGATATGGGGAGTTGACCATTGATAGAATCGGTCGTAAAGGTAAACCCTACTTATGAACCTTTGGTAACCCGTATAGACATGGGATTGTGGATCCACAGGGTTTAATCGCTTCGAAAGTGGATGGGTCTAGATGACCTTGATCCTGTAGAAAACGGAGGCTATCTGTGATTTGTCTCTCAATATGGGTGGTTTTTTCAGGCTCATTGGGGAGGTGAATAAATTTAGTCTCATCACTCAACAACTCTGATAACTTGTTAACGTAATCCGATTTATTCATGATTACGATTCCGGCTCCCTTATCCGGTTTGCTTAGTGCTCTGTTATTTCGTCTTTTAATTGCTTTCAGTTCTTCCAAGTGCTTTCGAGTTAGTAATCCGCGATTACGTGGACTGTGTTGGCGAATTTGGTAACGACAGTTTACCAAGGTGGACTTGAATCGCTCTAGTTAATTTGCTGAATTTGGTATCAAATTCTGTCTGCGAGAAAAGGTTCTCAAATTGGACTTCTGTTGCAAGTTGGTTATTGCTTTTCGGAGATAACAGAAATTCACACCGAGAGACAGGGCCTCGATGAGAATTGGACTCACTTTCAAATTGGAATAGTTGTGCACATAGCGTTAATGTTGCAATGGGAAACGGCATTGAGGTGCGGTGTGATTTAGGCTGTACTCAAGTTTGGATAACTTTCTGCGACAACTTGCTTCTTTGATTGACTGAGTGTAACACCCATCAAAGTCGCTGCGTCTTCACACCCTAGCCGCTGCGGAAGCGATCGGCATTCGTTTAATCAAACCCAATCTATGCGCAAATAAGAGATTGGCCCATGCTATTTAACTACCGTGACCGAAGATCGATCGCACGGATGACGCATCACAGTTTGATTGCAGCGTTGTGGTGATCTAAGGGCGTGAACCACGTCGCACCTCCCCCACCCCATTCATCTTCCTTTCAATCAATCACCGTGACTTTCGAATGACTGAATGACTATCCCCGTTCGAAATGTCATTTTCCTATTTGATCTGTACAGGTCAGAAGATGAATCAACGAAAAGAATTCTTCGCCTCTAAATTCGTGCCCTCATATTTTGGCACATGCTTATACAAGTATTGTGACCCAATAATGCTAACTTGGAATCATCTCGGCGTGTGTGCGTGCGTACTCGTTACAAGATCACCACAACTTTCCTCCCTCAAGAGTACCTCATTAATTTGACTTGCTTCTCGTCGGGATCTCCTTAGCGTTGCGCTGGTTGAGGCTTCTGATTCCGCCGGTTGTACTGCATCTTCTTGTTCAAGATCATGACATTGGAGAACCTTAGCATCCGATCCAGGCGGTTGCGAACAGTCAAGGCTGTCCTCTTCCTCATGGGGTTCTGAGGCACCGACAGTTCATTCGGCTCCACGATCACCACAACTTTCCTCCCTCAAGAGTGCCTCATCAATTTGACTAGGTTTTCGAATTGCATTTCTGTGGTGTTTGTGTAACGAGTGCGCACACACCACGGTACAGCCTCCAGGTAACCATTCAAGAAACGAGATAAGCGACCAATCCTGTGGCCTCAATTGGCACCAACCGGATTGGCTAAGTGCAAGAAGGCAAACAGATAAACCATATCCTTGTCGATTGGACATTCAAGGATCGACCAATGATTGTTTGTTGCTTGTGATATATATCTCCACGATTTTCTGAATATAACTAACTGTATCCACAGCTCGTCTTGGTTCTACCTGACTTTGCGCTATTCAGTCGGTTTTCAGTCCGATACCGAGTTCGCGCTATTCGATTTCGATTCCTATTCCGAATACTACAATTGGCGTCGCGGCATGGAGTTGTGCACTATCGAATCCCTGAATCTACATTCACATTTGTCTGAGATTGAAGAATGTGTGGAACGTCTTGAGCTCTGGTACAGCCTATGGCAGAACGGAAAGCAGGAGCAATCCATACTATTTCTCACGGTTGGTGGAAAGGAAATGTATTCTTTGCTGAAGAATCTCACTTTCCCCGACAATCTGGCCAAGTTAGCATTCCCGATGCTGAAACAATTGCTTCTTGCTCACGTGATTCCTGTTGATTTTCAAGCTTCTGAGAGGGCAAAGTTCAATTCGTTGGTTCGTGCCGAGTCACTGCCCTGTCGAGATTTCATCCTGTTGCTCAACAAAGAGGTTTCCAAGTGCAATTATGAAGTGTATGGTTAATTGTTGTAAGAACTGCTGTGAAAGTAAGGTTTGCTATGCCTCGGCTGGTATTTTAGCAACGGCAGCGGAAATCTGATCATTACAAAGTAAGTGCGCGATACAGAGCTCACCATGAGGAATTTTGCCGGTGCGGTCTTTTGGAACTCATTGAAATCACGCGAATAGTTAAAGCAAAACTTAATCTCCGGAAATGTCGAAGTTGCTATATAAAACGGAGAAACTTTCCTTGGAAGATCACTATCGACAAATAATGGCGATAGATGCTAAATGTTAATCATACACTTGATTGTGCCCGGTAGAGAAGAACGGTCCTTCTGCTAGGATGATAAGAATAACGGTGGTGGTGCATTTGTAAAATTCGAGGGGTTGCGTAGCTACTTGATATCTGAACCTTTGTGGTTGTGATAAGTGCGCCAGGGTTATGTAACCATGTTCTGATAATCTTCAATTACACAAGACTATTTGGAAACTGAACCTGTCCTTCTGCTGGTCACATAAGCGTGATCCCGGTCCGTGATTTGATGATCACGTCCAGCTGGAGTGGATCCACCAGGAAAAATGGAGAAAAGCAAGAGACAAGAAAAGAAAACTGCCGTTGCGAAACTATCGTTCGAAAAACTGGTAGTGGTGGCGCAGTGGTTTAGTCGCTATCATCGGTGCGCTTTGGACCCTGTGGTCCGAGGTTCGAGCCTCGCTATCGCCACCCAGCTTTGCTGTCACTCGGTTCAATACCACGCCTGACCTATCGGGACCTTCTGTGGTTCTCCACTCCAAGTCCCGGGGATCAGGTTACCGGTTACCATCACTAAACAGTAGATTCTAGTGACTATGGGGTTCGACCCGTCCGTTGTTCACCACACACTGGTGTGTAATAAAAAATCGGATACATGATGACTTAACTGCCTATATGACTGAATTTGCCCCACCCCAGGACATTTTCGTCATTGTGAGTCACAGCTTCCCGGTGCCCTAACTTATTTTCTTGTTTAGTCGTTTCTTGCGCCATCGAGGAGCCGCGATGTGACCGCATTGATACCGCAGGCATCATACGAGAAGACCCCGGCCCCGAACTACAGTCCGGTCTTTCTCTGAGTACCCAAGACATTCGGAAACTTGCACACGCTCCGCCCGATGCAGTCAAGCGGTCTGCCGTTGATCTGTCAAGGAGGGTGACACATCCGTGGAAGGCCTTATCGCATGCGATAGAAGAGGTAAATGATAGCGTCTTGATGGTGAAGCTGTACAAAGCTATGCAGAAACACTGAAACAGCAAGCCCTACGAACTGAAGATTGCGATATCATTTCAAAAGCAACTGACAATAATAGGGATATTGTTAAATGGAATGCAAACGGCGCACTTACAATATACCACTGTTATAACTGAATATTGTCAAAAAATAACCAACACTAATAAGCAATTAACGGACTAATATTAAATCCGAATATCCTGAATATTAAACATTAAAAAACTCGAAAATTTCGAGATTTTGTACCGTGGGATTAAACCGACAGAGACTAAAAAACACCAATACGAAAACGAACGTTACCAAACGATGCGTTAACATAAAACTAGGTTAAAAAAAATAAAGAGAACGATAAAAGTATGTTAGAAGAAACAAACCACGTACGAAACTCGAGCCATGTGAAGACAAAGTTTGAGTGGGATAATTAAATGTACACCGATAGCGAACTGCTGGTTGCTTTATTGCGGACGATACTCGGGCACACTTTACTTTTCCGCTTACTGTGACAACACTTCTTTAACCTGCGGCATATTGCCATTTCTTTTCAAGTGCCAGTTCTGGGTTGGATCGTCGCAACTGCGAATCCGATTTCCACGAGTTATTGGTACAATTATGAGTTACTGCATGAACTAACTCCGGTGGCCCCGGAAACTCTTTTCGTCGTCTGTGCTGCAGTTAGCGTGTAGATGAACAGGCCTGCACGGATACCAGTTGGACTGTGGGTTTGTCGCAAATCTAAGTATGACTACTTTGGTCTGTCCTAGTGTAACCATCTTGAGCTGTACCTAGTTTTCGAAACGAGTGGCAGTGCCGGAAAGACAAGTGGAGCATCGATCATAAGCTCCGCGAGACACAAATGGATGCGACATCTTTGCGGCAATGAAGGGGGCTCTTTCTAATGTTTGGCCTCAAAAGACGAGAACAGCGTGAGAGAAAACCGATCTATCATAGGGGGCCGGGCTTATGCTGTCGCAGTCCGGTCAGTCTTACTGCATAGTGCGTGCAGAAGACAATCATGAATACCGGTGTTCAAGACTTGCCTCTTAGGCAGCGCAGGGTGTCTGGTGAGACAAGCGACCATTATCTCGGCTATCTTGGGACGTATTTGTAGTCGAACGCTTCTCCAAATGCTCTGATTTTACGCGTAGCGTTGACCGGGGTACTTAAGCCCAGCAATTTTCTCAGTTTTCGCCAAGACATGCGATGGTTTAATAAAGGTCCACGAGACCAAATCAGGGGTGATTAAAATGCAGCACCGCATTTCTGTGTTATATGGCAGCCCTTTGATTGGCCGCTTCCCCCTTCCTGAAAATTGTATCACTATGTATTCAATGAAAGGAAGTAAAAATGAAAAAAAATGATGAAACGGAATTGAACGGCTTGGTTACTAGGATCCACTAAGAGCAGTTAACTGTTCAGAAGAAAAGTGCATTCGCGTAAATTTAATCTTATTTCTCGGCGACCGCTTGACCGAATAAACACCAATTCAGAACAAGTCATCATCTTGAGGACCATTTATTAACAATTTGTTTCATCATTATCTTGAAAGGAAAATCAGACGTAAGTTGCTCGTTTTAAATAGCAATCAAAGGTAATAAACAATACAAATTGCCGCGTTGAACGGGGCGATAACACTTGTTATGAGAACAGCCTGGATCTGGTAGAGTGTTGACACAACGCCACGAGTTCAAAATGATACCATATGTTCTTCGCAATGGCGACTTTTGCTAAGAAAGCGTAACAGCAAAACAATTCGCAGCGTTGACATGATTAATTGAGCGAACCAAGTTGTTTGAAACATGGGGATAAGTGTGCATCACGTTTGAAGCAGTGAACGTTCCACAGAGAATCGATATTGGTACTACAAAAATGACGTATGAAGGGAGGAAACAGCAGTTGTTTAATTCAGAGATAAAAGTATCAGAAATACACCGTTTTGATCTCTGAAAATTTTTTCCAAAGATCGCATATAATCCGGAAACATAATAATTTAAAGATCACATGCGATACACTCAATGATGCGCACCTATTCCAGAATGTCACGATCAATGATAAAGTTTACGAGGATATAAACAACGCAAGTAGACAGTGGGCACAGCCCACAAGCTCAGACACGGAAAACGTCGCTTTCATTCGGATACGCTCAGAATGACAGATAGAAAACCCGACTTCATATGAATGAAGTGGATCGCATCACGGCATTTTAGGCCGTAGGCTACCTTGTTCCACATTACGAGAGAAGTTTGTTTGCAGAAAAGATCATGTAATGGTGAAAATCGAGCAAATTACAGATGACAGCATGACGAGCCACTTGGTCTTGAATCTTTGTGATTCATCTTTGACATTTCAGTCTTAGCAATTATTATCCACGCCTATTGATTTCAACGGCCACTGGCGGACAAGATATATTTGGTTCGCGAGAACCGGACGGAACGAACGCATGTTAAATGAGAAATATGGAGGAGCGGCCGACTACATTACACAGTCCTCTCTGTCTGTTCATCCAACCGAAAAGCCTTGGGCGACACGAAGTATTCAATCGTTGACCCATTATAACAAGCAATTAGCTGATCATCCAAACATTTATTTCGATCAATGTTCGGTCCACAAAACAGTTCAAACAGAAAAAATTATTTAATGCCGCACAAAGCAACAATAAAAATCTGTAACTCGATCATTCTCTTAGTGCATGACCGCAACTTCTTATCAAAGAATGACCATTCTTCGTATCAAATCACTGATTGGTAGAATAACAAAATTTCATGAAGTATGTGAAATAATTATTCCTGTTTGAGTAGTCATGAGAACACAAAACAGCAAACAAGTTCGTTTTCGGTGCCACCTCAAATGGCTAGATACAGCACAATTTGTAACAGATTAAACAGGTGGAGAGAGGAGACAAATATCTGCGAAGGAAATCAGAGTTCAAGGAGAGATGATGGACTCGTGAAAATTGGCGTTAGTGAGTGTGTATGTTTGTGTAGATGTGCGTGGAAACTGTGCTGTATTTAGCCAGTTGAGGTGTCACCGAAAACGAGCTTGTTTGCTATTTTGTGTTCTCACTTCATGAAGCAGAAGATGAACACGGGGATAAGGCCCATATCTTGATACAAATACATTCGACCAGTAGTACTAGCAGAGACGAGCGAGTATTGGAAAGATAGCGAAACCCATCAGCAGACGACATAAAGAAAACGGCATGAAACACTTCAGAAGTGGACACATGTGGAAGAGTGAGCACACTTAAACTATGGTGTTAGACCTGGTTAGACTTCGCACATCGGGACTAGTTCAAATTGTTGTTTGACAGAGTTGAAGTTTTTATGTCGACTGTGAAAGATTCAGGAGCCTCGGTGGGGTTCGAACACACGTGTGGACGCCGCCTACGCTTTTGTACAGCGCAATCTCTATCAGCTGAGCTACGAGACCACACCGATAGCACTGATCTTTTCACATTCGAATTACCCATCCAACTTACAGAGGCATATGGCATCCACCAGTTAGCATGTAAGCTGACTGCCTCGACAGGTTTTCCTTAAAATTCACCGGAGTCCACCGAATGAGCTCCTAAGGCAAGGTTCATTGTTCACATTTTTGTTCGGTAGTAGACGTAGGCGGCGTCCATGCATGGGTTCGGATCCCACCGATGCTACTGAACTGTTCACAATTGACATAAAAACTAGTGTTGATCGAACTCGTGGGACGTCGTGCAATTCACTCGATCTCTTCTTCCCAATGCCTAACGTTTTCAGCTTCATACCAAGAAACGGAAGTGGTATAACATCACACGAAGCACAACACATGTGAACTAGTATTGCTTCCTTCTGTCTGATGCCAAATAGACGTACTGTTTCTCGAGATCTATGACAGTCGGTGGTACATCAGCTGTAGGGAAAACCGAAGATCAAAGAAAAAGTCTTAAGAATTGATTGTTGAAAATGACTGAGAGATAGGACACGGATACAGTCATTTTATTTCGTCAATACTTTGTGACTTCATGTCACTTATCGACATGTTCACTTCGTACCATAGAGGAAAAAATGTACTATTTGGAACACTTAGACTGATCAGGATAAACGTCCCCATGAGACAGTAAGCATCTATTAGAAAGAAGAATGTGTTGGGTTACATTACACCAAACGTTTTCTTAGTTTGTTCTATACCTTCCAGAATACCACAGATTTTATCTTGGTAATCAACATTGTATCAATTCAATTGTTGATACAATGGAGAATTCGGAATCTCGAAATGAATCGTCTTTATCCGTGGCTATCGATATGAAAGCACGATATTGGAAACCAAAATGTATTTCTCTATGGAGATTCATGTCGCACGTTTTCGATGAGCAACTGTTCCGTTTTGGACCCGACAAAGACAACCACCGCACTGACTTACAAGAGGAATGTTCGGTTGGTGAACGGATCAAGATGAACACTGAACGTGTCCGTACAGTCAAACAAAGACAACTTAGAATGAATACCTGTAACCACAACTGTAACTACAAACCTGTAACGGTTTGCAGTACACAGAGAATACGTTTATGGGTAGATGAAAGTGTGCAAATTATACCGGTATCAAATCAACTTACTTCGTAATCCAACTGTTCCATAGTTTTTGGATTCACTGACTGGAAATTGTTCTACGTTGATTCCACGGAAAGAGAAACAAAACGAATCAACTTATAGACACTTCAACTATAAGCACATCAAACATACGGGTTCGGTGTATGATGAAACGAACTATTCATATAAACGATGACATTCATAACACAAGTAATGAGGAGTGTTATGATGTGGAACACTGTCTTTCTTTCTGCATGTTTTACCAAAACTAAACCCACGCCTAATTACCTACTGCAAATTGAATGCTTTTTATCGTAATCCACAAATTATCGAATGGGTTCTCGTTACAAGGTTGGTGGTGATCCATTGATACCCATTCAACTGTTTTCATTAGTTGGCAACATTTTACGGCGACTCCAGACGTGAGTTACGTTTTTGAAGCTTTTACTGCAACCAAGACAACTGTTAGTTTGTTATCGAAGTAAAAACTGTGAAGTCACTACCTTACTTTTCATACTTTATAAAGAAGCCTCGTTGTAGGGCGAACAATGGTTTTCATTGATTCATCTTCTCGCCTATAGAGACCACATAAAAAGCTGGTGTGTTTTCAACACACATGCAGTCGCTAAGGTCACAGTGACTGTTTACAGGAGGGACATGGGGTGTGACATTTATCACACTAATAGGTCACCACAACACTGCAATCACGTTGTGATGGGTCGGTCATGGCAGTTGAATGATATAGGACAATCTCTTTGGTGCATATAGGTTGGGTGTGAACAAATGCAGCGGCTAGGGTGTAAAGATGAAATAAATTGGATGGTACTCGATAAATAACTTTAAAGGCTGCTTCAATTTTCAGTTGGTGACCTGAGTCTGTTAGGTGAGCGAGAATAGCACTTCCTAGGTCACCTTGACCGCTGTGTCAAGACCGGAGTTGTGGCAGATGCTATGTTGAGAAATGGAACACACTATGCTCATCTTGATGAGGGACTACAGCGGCCTGGGTGAATGTACCTATTGTTCAACCCTAAACACGTGAATTTGCTGCGGACAACCCTGGAGGGTCGCGAGCGATCAGTGGTGATACTCCAGGACGCAAAGGTTTTTCATCTGCCACGTGACATCTCTGCAATAAAATATCCCACCAAAGAGGTCATCGATATTCAGCCCGGCGACTAAAAGATAGCAGTTTACTTGTTCAAGGACCAGAATTATACCGGCGAAGAAAAATACTGAGTGGTATTGAGGAAGCTATTATTACTGTATTACCAAAATTATGCATGGATGACTTTATGAAACCGACTTATCCCATGTGGAAGCAAGTAACCTAGCAGTAAGAGCCAACACAGGTACTACCTTTACCAGTTGTTTCACTAAACCACCGTTGACTGCTTATTCGTGACACTGACAGTCACCTGAATGCCAAGAAACATGTCACAAAATATGAAAGGACCAGAGGAAACCCAGCAATTTATAGTTCACCGCGTTAGACCACAAATGTGTAAGCCGGCTGAGTGCATCGTATCTTGTGGCGGCCCTCGAAATCATGGTAACCGGTGGTGAGAGACACTGAGGGGTATGGTTGGGTATCGCAAACAGTGGCGCTCGTGCATCTACTGGATATTCTTGCAATCGCAGTCTATGACTTCGCTATCTTCCCTTTGACTCCGCTCCCAACATTCCAATCTCTTCATCTTGTTCTTTTATCCAAACGGGCAGCAAAAAGACAGCAACCGAAACCGCCACATGAAAATGCACGGTTACTGGTCGTAAAAACTGAAACTACATCCTGTCTTGAATGGTGACGCCGTGTTGTTCTACATTCCTCGGTCGAATACCGACTAACTGTGACGAAGAAACAGAAATCCCAACCGTAGCACGGCATTACGCTGATTGTCAAAAGTGATAATAACTCGTTTTGGTAGTCAATCGATGAGATTCGATCAGAGTTCGACACTGTCAAGCTGGTTACCTTTAGCTTTTATGGAGCCCCGAAACGCATACGCAGTTTAGGGAAAAACCAGTTCACGGCCAAAGTTCAAGCAGGTAGATCAGTAGGAACAGGAGTCTTTTGCAAAAACCTCATAATCCGTGGCTGGTCTTCATTATGTGGTCATGTAAGGGGTTACGCCAAGCGGTTAAGCGAAGCTGTGTCTCAGGACATCAGTGATTGACTCAGTGCGAATCCGCGAACACCCCGAGCAGTTGATGACCATACACAGTTATTCGAGACAAGGTTATTGGTGTATTGCCAAGATATTTTGGAGTCTCAGGACATCTATGGCGGTTAATGGTCCATCTGAGGCACCGCCATGAGGGACCGCTGGTGGGAATTACAGTCAGCCTGATCAGATCGTTTTCTTTTTATTTCATTTTCACTTCATTTATTGAACATATAACGATACAATCTTCAGGCAGGGGGAAGTGGCTAATCACAAAAGTGTCATACTTTGCGGAGCAGTACATGGCAAAACTATCGAAGACGAAATAAATGAACGAACACTGGGATGCACTTTATTTTGAGGTATCGTAGTCCATATTCTTTCATTCTTTCACTGAACTTTCGGAATGGATATTGGAAACTAAT